GTTTGCTGACGACGCCAAAATTATGAGAAGGATTAAGACAGAGGAGGACAGCTTCAGGCTTCAAGAAGGCCTGGACAAGCTGCATGAATGGTCGAAGAAATGATTGTTAGAGTTTAACCCAAGCAAATGTAATGTAATGAGGATAGGTGACAGTAGCAGGAGACCAGATACAAGGTATCATTTGGGAGATGAAATACTTCAAGAGTCAAAGAGAGGGAGAAAGACCTGAATGTTGATATCACGCAAGACCTGTCCCCTGAAGTCCATATCAAGAGCATATGCCCGGTTGGCCAACATAAGTAAGAAACTTACTTTTATTCCTTTAGAAATTTGTGTAAGGAATCATTCAGAAAAGTGTATACCACATATGTCAGGCCAATCCTGGAGTATTCGGCTCCAGCATGGAGTCCATATCTAGTCAAGCATAAGACTAAACTGGAAAAGGTTCAAAGGTTTGCCACCAGACTAGAACCTGAACTGACGGGTATGAGCTACGAGAAATGACTACGGAAATTAAACCTCACATCACTGGGAGACAGAAGAGTTACTGGGGACATGATCACCACATACAAGATTCTCAAAGCAATTGATAGGGTAGTTAAAGACAGACTAATTAACACCAGGGGCACAGACACTAGGGGACACAGGTGGAAATTGAATTCTCAAATGAGCCATAGAGACATTAGAGAGAATTTTTTCAGTGTAAGAGTAGTAGACAAATGGAATGCATTAGGCAGTTATGTAGTGGAGGCTGACTCCATACACAGTTTCAAATGTAGATATGATAGAGCCCAGTAGGCTCAGGAATCTGTAAACCAGTTGATTGACAGTTGAGAGGCGGCCCGACAGAGCAGAGTGCAACCCCCGCATGCACAACTAGGTGAATACACACACACACACACACACACACACACACACACACACACACACACACACACACACACACACACACACACACACACACACACACACACACACACACACACACACACACACACACACATACACACACACACACACACACACACACACACACACACACACACCACACACACACACACACACACACACACACACACACACACACACACACACACACACACACACACACACACACACACACACACACACACACACACACACACACACACACACACACACACACACACACACACACACACACACACACACACACACACACACACACACACACACACACCACACACACACACACACACACACACTAGGCGGGACCAAAGAGCCTGAGCTCAACCCCCGTAAACACAACTAGGTGAGTACACACACACACACACACACACACACACACACACACACACACACACACACACACACACACACACACACACACACACACACACACACACACACACACACACACACACACACACACACACACACACACACACACACACACACACACACATACACACACACACACACACACACACACACACACACACCACACACACACACACACACACACACACACACACACGCATACACACAGCTAAAAAAAATCTATTCACCTGTTGTGAGGCGGGACCAAAGAACCGAAGCTCAACCCCCTGAAGCACAAGTAGGTTATACCTTGGACCTTTTTGGAGGGCAATTTTTAAGACAAATTAGATTCTAAATCTGATAATACAACACAAATGCTTTCCATTCATTAGTGTCATTTAAATACATGTTACCACACCCTTTAAACTAATGACAAACACCGATAAACACAAGAAATTAGTGAGAAACCATGTACCTTGATATTTTATCTGATAAAAGCCACTAGCATCCTGATTATGACGATAATAAAACAGTCTCGCCCTGTCAAATGGCGACCTACTCCGCAAGGTGTGAGTGGGTAACCAACCTCTATCAGCAAAGTGAACCCCGCATGGTGTGGGGTGGAAAACCAACCATAAGAACATACACACAAAAATCACAATCAAAAATCACAAATTACATACATCAAATGAACAATTCCCCAAGGGCCGTGATGAGGATTCGAACTTACGCCTAGGATGATCCCAAACGGACCTTAGTCGACTATGCCATGACATGGTTAGACAGGGTAGACACGGTCAAACATAAGAACATAAGAATAAAGGTAACTGCAGGTGGTCAATTGGCCCATACGATGCGGCTCCTATATATAACCACCCAATCCCACTCATATACATGTCCAACCCACGCTTGAAACAATGAAGGACCCCACCTCTTCCACGTTCTGCGTTAATTTGTTCTATAAATCAACAACCCAATTACCGAACCAGTATTTACCCAGGTCTTTCCTAAATCTAAACTTATTCAATTTATACCTATTGTTTCGTGTTCAGTCTTGTGTTGATATTTTAAATACCCCCTATTAATATCCCCTTTGTTATATCAATTCATCCACTTATAAACTTCTATCATGTCATCCCTAACTCTTAGCCTTTCCACTGAAAGTATTTTAAGCTTTGTCAACCTTTCTTAATGACAGGTTTCTAATTTATAGGATAAACTTTGTCATCCTACGCTGGAAGCATTCTAGTGAATTTAGATCCATTCTATAGTATGGGGACCAAAATTGAATTGCATAATCTAAATGGGGCCTAACCAGAGCAAGATATAGCTAAAGAACAACACCAGGTGTCTTATTAGTAACACTTCGATTAATAAATCTCAGTGTCTTTTTTGCTTTATTACGAACATTTATGCATTGAATTTTTGGTTTCAAATTCTTACTAATCATAACTTCCAGATCCCTTTCGCATTCTGACTACACAATCTCAACACCATTTAGCTTGTATCTTGTAACTCTATCATCATTATCAAACTCTAAACCTTACATTCCTCTGCATCTGCCAATCTTTTGACCATTTCAAAACCTTATTTAGATCGTCTTGAAGTGACAGAGAGAGTCTTTTTTCGTGTTTATTTTCCCTTACGATTTTTGTATCATCGGCAAATTTGCAAATATTGCTGCTCAAACCTGAATCTAAATCTTTTTCCATTCTTTGCTAAATCTGATTTCTTTGTGATCACTGTTCCCAGGCTCACTCCCTATTTCGATTTCATTAATTTGTGTTTCCCTGTTAGTTAACACTAAGTCTAAAATATTATTTTCCCGCGTTGGTTCCTTAATGTGTTGCTTAAGAAAGCAATCCTCAATTAATTGTTGAAAATATTCTTCTTCGTTATTCCCTGTTCTGTTAAACCAGTTTCTTCCACAAAAAATAAAGTCATCCATGACACAAATATTGTTTAACCTAGATACTCTAGATATTTCAACCAATAGATGCTTTGCTTCTATTCTGTCTGAGTTTGGAGGCCTGTATATAGCTCCCATTATAAGATTTTTAGCGTTTTTTTTTTAATTCTAGCCACATATTTTATGTGTGTGTGGCTAAGTTTTGATTCCCTCTTTGAGACTACATTTAAATTTTCCTTAACATATATGGATACTCCACCTCCTCGTCTAATATCTATCTGCGTGAAATAGTTTAAATCCCATTATTTGTTATTCAGCTAATAGTTCTCTTTTTTTCTACATTCATCCATGTTTCGGTAAGTGCAATAATATAAATTTTGTCTGTGCAGACAAGATCATTTATAACGTTTATATTTTTCTTAGACTCCTACTCTTAATATACCCTAAGTGTAATGTTATTTTGAGGACCTTTTCTTTGCCTGTTCATTTTGCTAATTTGTTTCCCACACAAACACATACTTTCTCCATACTTTTTTCTCCATATCATTTCCCATACCACTATCTACTAAGAGTTTTAACCCAAACATACAATTCCAACCGCAGGTTCCAACGCGTTGGCACAAGTAAACATCCCGAGCCCAGGATAAATGTACCCCATCCCAAGCAATAGGGTGCAGCGCTCGAGATGGGAGCCCCTACCAGAGTCAACATAATGAACCCCGCATGTTGTGGGGTTGCAAGCCTGCCACAGTCAACATAGTGAACCCTGGTTGATACCTGGTTGATACCTGGTTGATGGGGTTCTGGGAGTTCTTCTACTCCCCAAGCCCGGCCCGAGGCCAGGCTTGACTTGTGAGAGTTTGGTCCACCAGGATGTTGCTTGGAGCCGCCCGCAGGCCCACATACCCACCACAGCCCGGTTGGTCCGGCACTCCTTGGAGGAATAAATCTAGTTTCCTCTTGAAAATGTCCACGGTTGTTCCGGCAATATTTCTTATGCTTGCTGGGAGGACGTTGAACAACCGCGGACCTCTGATGTTTATACAGTGTTCTCTGATTGTGCCTATGGCACCTCTGCTCTTCACTGGTTCTATTCTACATTTTGCCTGCCACAGTCAACATAGTGAACCCTGCATGGTGTGGGGTTACAAGCCTGCCACAGTCAACATAGTGAACCCTGCATGGTGTGGGGTTGCAAGCCTGCCACAGTCAACATAGTGAACCCTGCATGGTGTGGGGTTACAAGCCTGCCACATTCAACATAGTGAACCCTGCATGTTGTGGGGTTGCAAGCCTGCCACAGTCAACATAGTGAACCCTGCATGGTGTGGGGTTACAAGCCTGCCACAGTCAACATAGTGAACCCTGCATGGTGTGGGGTTGCATGCCTGCCACAGTCAACATAGTGAACCCTGCATGGTGTGGGGTTACAAGCCTGCCACAGTCAACATAGTGAACCCTGCATGGTGTGGGGTTGCAAGCCTGCCACAGTCAACATAGTGAACCCTGCATGGTGTGGGGTTACAAGCCTGCCACAGTCAACATAGTGAACCCCGCATGGTGTGGGGTTGCAAGCCTGCCACAGTCAACATAGTGAACCCTGCATGGTGTGGGGTTACAAGCCTGCCACAGTCAACATAGTGAACCCCGCATGGTGTGGGGTTGCAAGCCTGCCACAGTCAACATAGTGAACCCCGCTCGGCGTGGGGTGGGTACCCTGCCTCAGTCAACAACCCCGTATTGACAAAATTGGGTAAGTTGTGGCAACTGAACACGACTGTAAAATGCGTCA